AGTTTGAAGAACCTAGCATGGATGCTACTGGTACCTCAGCCCTGCCAGAGCAGTTGGAGTAAATGTATCAGAGTTCAAATACTGCAGTTAATTCCAAACTCCCCAGGCTCTCAGAACTGCTGAGAGTCAGGTCCTTTCTCTGTTCCTCCCAAAACTGGAGGTAAAGACTGGAAGGTTTCCTCTACAAGAGCTGCCCTACCACTTCCTGTTCTTGTTCAAATACCCTCTTTCTTGCCTTCATTAGCAGATAACACAGGTTCTGCAGCTGGGGAAAAATTTTAATCTGGCTATGCTGCAGGATTGAACCCCTTGCTTCTTTGCAGGAAGAGAGAAAGGAACTAGGCGCTCAGCAACTCCAAGAGCCTGGGGCATAAGTAAGCCCAACACAGGCACATACTGTCTTCTTTGAAAGTTTCTAAATATGCATTTGCTTAGAGTACTGGAAATATTAAAGAATATTTGATAATTAAGAAGAACGTGCAAGTTTAAAAAATATGAACAATGCATTGTGCTTTAATTGGCTGCCACATATATAGAAACCTCAAAGAGATGATAGAGGTGAATAGTTTCAGAACTTATTTGAATTGGCCTGCATACAAAAAGGTAAAATTCTGGCTTTTCCACCCCAGAAGTGTGGAGGTCACCAGATGCAACAGCTGGGAAAGGGGCAAAGATTTAAGGAAACTACAGCTCTCCCCTGTTTCAGAGAGTCTTGAGAGAGACAGGTGAAGATGGAGCAGGGCAAAAACTGGAAAGGAGTGTGCATTCAGCAGGGCTAGTGCATCCACCAGAATGATAGAGATCACTAGGCTACTCCCCCAGAAAAGGTCCATAACATCAAATCTGGGGTAGGAGTTATGAAATGGTGTTGTTGCCATTCCACTGCTGGGGACAGAGGAACGACATACCCAATTCCCTGATACCTGCCTAATCACCTCAATGCACAAATGGGGCTTTTAGAGATTGTCTATAAGAGAGCAACAATAGCAGCAGAAATTCTAAACAAAATTAGTATTAAAATATTGAGGATTTGAACTCACAAACTCAAGGTATTTAGAATGGGAACTATTGTTCACTTTAGTACCTAACTACTGAATAGGCATTTTTTTGTATCTGGATACTGACACTTGTACAAGTTACCACGACAGCCTGAAGTTCTGGACACAATGGAAGGAGTGAAAGCTGGGGTTTCAGATCTAACTGAATGTTTCAGATGTGCTGTGATAAAGACATACCCAAATTAGAACTTGACATTTTCTCTGTGTAAATTATGTACAAGCAACCACCATTTTATTATATTTCTGCCACAACATGAAAATGGTGGCATAAAGAACAGTCACTGAATAAAAACACATACATTCTGTTTTTTTGCACTCCAAATTCTTGTCTTCCCTCCAGAAAAGCATGCCCTCCTCAGCAAACCATTCCTTCTTTAAAAATATAAATAGGGATTATTTTTTACATTAAAGAGAAATGACAAAAGGAGCCATTGAAAGATGGTGGGGAGGAAGAACAACATTCTGTTATCTTATATCTTCCAAAACCCACTGTAACAACAACAGTAATAATATCCCTTGCTATATATGTAAGATAAGATACACATTCTACCATTTGGTCACTGTTGTTGAACAGAAGTAATAATGAATTGTCTAGATACATAAAAAAATCATAATGGAGTCTTGTTCCATATCCCTCTTTTCTTCCATATAAAATGTCAAAACTCCATGGAAATGGGTATAGCAACTTTATATAAATAACTTTGCCCTTCATTTGAACTGAAAATATCTCCATGTTTAAGGTCTACAGACTTTTTCAGAAGATACTTCATTGATGTGGCTAGGCTTTTTGCAAAAAAACCCCTATTGAAGTGACTAAAGCAACATATGACATTTAGAAAGTTTTTCTTTTGAAATATAAGAATAGGCATGTTTGTGTCAAGTGATGGAAGAGAGATCATTTTATGTTGAATGTGTGGTGCTTGCATAGCTGAATATGTGTTTTTGTCAGTCATGTGTCAAACCAACACCTCATATTCAAACTCCTTCCTTTAATATGGCAGTTAATGTTCTTTTGCATTCATCAGCCGTGTTGTGTTTTGTCTACAATATCACTGAAGTGCATTGATGAATATCTGAGAAAACTTCCACTGTGGCTCTGCCTAAAACATACATGTTGCATGGATGCAGAGGATTTCTTTCAATAGCATAATCAACCCAACACTTTTTATGGTCCAATTCTTTCTTTATTTTAGGTGATTTAATCCAGTGTTAATCCTGATTCATACTGAAAACTCCACTGTGTTTTATGGCTTGTTCTCAGTAGTTTGCACATCAATGAAAATATGCTGTAGAGTCACAGGAACTGAACATTCAAATTGGCTAGAACAGGAGGCAGCAACCCGCAGTCCACAGGCTGGATCCGGCTGTGGAGACTTTTGATCAAGCCCATGGACATGGGCTTGAGTGGCATTGGGCAGTAGGGAGCTTTAGGAGCAGTTACTTTTCCCGTGCCGGTGTAGGGAAAAGCAGCAGCAAGAGGCATGGGGAAAAGTGATAGTGATAGTGATAAGGGCCTTCCCATGCCAGCTGCTGCAGGGAAAAGGAGCAATGGTGAAGAAAAGTGGCAGTGGCAGTGCTTTTCCCATGCTGGCACAGAGAAAATTTGCAGTGACCGGTGTTTCCCCCATGACAGTGGTGGAGAAAAGTGACAGCAATATCTGGGTTCTAGCTCCTCCCATCTCACCTCTTACCCAGACTAGGTCAAATTGGCCCACAGCCTCAAAAGGTTGTTGACTGCCAGGCTGGGGCAATGCGAGCATCTCCTTCATCTGCAAATGATATCAAGACAGGGATAGAAATGATTGTTGGCCTTACGGCTAGCAAACAAAGCTCTGCTAAACTATTAGCTTTCACTCAGGAAGTTTTTCTTGTAAAAAGTGAATCTTTAAGGGGGAGGTTGGCAACTTCGATAAACACAATAATGTATAGTTTTTCTTCATGATCTATTCTGTGTGACTAAAATATGGTCAAATTGTACTGTAGAACAATGAGAAATGTTCGTGTGGTTGCCCCCAGTATGTCATTTGGCACACAGAGAGCCCATTACATCTTTTGCCTGCAACTCTCATTTTTCATTCTTGTAGAAAATTGAGGCAACACTCTGAACTAGTTCAAAGACACAATTAATTTGATTTTTATGTCAGTCATAGTCACATTGCACTGATATAATTCTTTTGGGTGTGATTCTTTTCTTCCACTGGCTTTATACTGGTGGGGCACATCCTTACAAGTGGGAATGTAAGTTCCCCAGGGACAAATAGCAATGGCATATATTTGTGCCGCTACTTGTCCCCAGAAAACACCCCTGCACATGTGTACTGGCATGCAGCAAGTAGCCTTGGGCGGGGTAGGGAAGGCTGGGCCCAGCACCTGAGCTGGCCCCAGCAGCCATACCTGGGATCGTGGAGGCCTTCTGGGGCTGCAGCAGCGGTGATCTGGGTACATAGCCTGGCTAGCAGCTAGAGCATGGCACTGGCTGGCTAGGCTTTGGTTTCAGATGGTGCATGCTGCTGTCATGTGTTGCCCTGCATTTTTCTGGCACTTTTTTTTACATCAGGAGATCCTGATGTAAAAAAAACCCCCACCACGCTGCAAACTGGCAGCGTGGCAAAAGCATGCATGTGCAGCACTTACATTTGGAGCATGGCAAACTGCACATGCACACTAGTCTGGATGCACTCATGTAGCTCTATTGATTTTCATAGAGTTACTCCTTCTGTACATTGATTTAAAAAATCAGCATAATCATGCCTATTCTACTTTTTTACTGTTCCATGAAAAGTAAGGTATTTGATAATTTTGTCTCATATTCTAATACACCTTAGGTAATACAAATTTAAAATGCAATTGATCATAAACTATTCTTTTAATTTATGGTCATTTAATAATAACTATCTAAAATTCACTCCTATCAACTTTCTCTTCCAGGACTCCTTTATTGAAAGAAATCTGAGAAAGAAAACAATCTGTTTCTCTGTTTTCCGGTGTAGTTGCATTTATATTTTTCTATAAGGTCCTAGACTTTGCAAGATCTTTCCTGTATGCAATAGTTAGGTGCTTGGAGGAGAAATGTATATTTTTAGGAACAGGATGTTCTGTGGTTGAGAACATATTATGCTTTGCAGACACTGTATGGACAGTAAAAAAAATTGATTTTCATTTTACAAAATGAAGGAAAACTCCAGCACAGATTGTAAAAGTAGTTTTAGGCTGTGTATCCCAGTTTGGTCTAGAAACATGTGGTTCTATTTGTTAAACAGTACAGAGCAACACATTTTTAAATGTATTTTCCTGTTGCAATCTACTCAAAGATTAATTTTCCAGGAAGAAACATAAGGGTGCAATTATGAATTTTAAAGAATGCCACATTTTGTTCTTGTATCTACCACAAAAAAATGGCAAAAGACAAGATAACTTTTGAAGATTAATTAGTCACATGCTTCCCTGCTCACAAGTTCTGTTAAAAGCTGAACACCTCATGCCAGATACAGCGCATGCTCAGGACTCAGTGGGAACTGCGTATGAAAAGCAGACTGGGTTCCTAAGGTCTCAGTCCTATAAGGTTCTCTGAGTATGTGGATTTCTGTATCCATACCCAGAACTATTGACTTGCTGAGTATTCCTTGTGGGTACAGGATTCTACCCTGGGAGAATCATTTTCATGACTGATATCTAATAGATTTTTCCTGCTCCCCTAATTCATGCATGGTCACACTGATACAAACTGGCCCAGTCTTGCTCCCATTAAAACCAATGGCTAAGGTCTCATTGATTTTATTAGGACCTGGAGCAAGCCCAGTGAGAGTCAGGGCCACTCTAGAATCAGGGTGTTCTAGAAACTGTAGACTTGTTGCTCCAGTCCCAGGGTCAGCACTTCTGGCAAATTTACCCAGGCTCACAGAGAAGATGCACTGAAAACCACTTCTTTTTCCCTTCCCCCAGCTTTAGTTAAGAATGCAAATTGCACGTCGGACTTTGAGGAATATTTTGCCAAAAGGAAACTGGAGGAAGGAGATGGGCATGCAGTCAGCATAGCGGAGTACCTACAGCGCAGTGACACAGCCATTATTTACCCAGAAGCCCCCGAGGAACTGTCTCGCCTTGGCACTCCAGAGGCCAATGGGCAAGAAGAAAATGGTGAGGCTGTAATTCATTTTTAGCCACTATCCTGACCTCTTGCAGCTGTTGCAATAATAAATGCACTACATGCCTGGGTGTTTACCTTAAAAATTGAAGAACAGCTGCAGAGGCATGGAATTTCATCAGCAAAGACTAGAACTGTAATTTTAGCATATTGTGATTTTTTGGTCAGCAAATTCATATTATTTTAGGTGAAATAAAGAGCAGGAACAATTAAAGCTTAATTTAAAAAGGAGAAATGCTGTCACTGTAGTTCTAAATTTCAGAAGTATTCAATTTGTATGTAAGAAATCTAGGATTACTAACCCATAACTCTCTTACTTCTTAAGAAATAATTGAAAAAGTGTCCATAAGAAGAATTGGGCTGGTGTCATATTCAAACAGGCCAGAAATGCAATGCAAATTGTTGATCGATTAAGAAAAATATTTCTTAGTTTTTCATCTAAGACATCAAAAAGGCTCAAGTAAGATCTTTAATTAATTTTCTAGCACAGTATGAAATGATTCATACAAGTTTGTCCTGGGTGTGTAAGGGGAATGGTGTATTCTGAGGCTAGTTTGAAATGATGGCACTCTAGTGTAGCAGATTGCAGTGATTCCTGTCATACCATCCTGGGCAATAAGCCCATTAGCTGCCATTGATTTACTGACCTTTTGGCCTGCTTCTCTCTCTCTTGTCTCTCGGTTACAGACCTGCCACCTGGAACTCCAGATGCTTTTGCCCAACTGCTGACCTGCCCCTACTGCGACCGGGGGTACAAGCGTTTGACATCATTGAAGGAGCACATCAAGTACCGCCATGAGAAGAATGAGGAGAACTTTTCTTGCCCTCTCTGTAGCTACACGTTTGCCTACCGCACCCAGCTCGAGCGGCATATGGTGACACACAAGCCAGGGACAGATCAGGTGGGGGGTTGGTTTTAAGTGATTTCTTTCTATAATAACCCCTTAGAGAAACGATATTGCTTTGATTGGCAATCATTATTAATTTTTCATGGCATTTTGAAGATGCAGATCTTTTAATGGTAATAGCTTTAATTGAGGTCTAAATGATTTTTTGATGGTCTCTTCTAATATGATTTAATAGTCTTATGTTCACGATCGAATGAGTGTGTTAATTTCTAATTTAGAAATTTTATTTGCACTTTAACTTGACTTTAGTTTCGTTTTTATGTTCCTCAAAAAGTGAATGAAACTGTAGCATTTTAATTATACATTATTAAACATCTCAGCAATTTTAATTCCATTTTTCACCTAGTTTTACTTCGCAATTTTTTGCAAATAAGATCTCAAAGACATAGTAAAAGATCTACTAATATTTTTCTTTCATTCCTTTTTGAATACCCTTTCAGTCACATCAAATTACATACATTTTGCATTATAGTTTGTAAAATACAATTATGTAATTTTAGAGTAAATCTTTCTATAAAATGTACAGGATATATGTTATGAGTGTATTGGTAACATATACACATATTAGGATTTTACCATCATGATAACTGATAAATCCCAACAGTATATGTTATAAATCAAAATAGTTGTCTTTTGATATGATGTATGTAATGTTATAGTATTACTGCTTTGCAGTATTTTGTGCATTTCACTATTACATTTAAGCAAATGCTGTGTCTTTTGAACAGGTGAATGAAGCTTTCTTTTATTCAAAAGGGCTGTGTCACAAAGCTCCTGCATATTAGAGGAAAAACTATTTCTGTACTCCCTAGAGACTTATCTGAAAACCACTGTTATGGAGTGTTGTAACAGAAACTCAAATGGTGTCTCTTAAACTTAAATAAGTGGATATGTGCATGGTGTCAAATTATATAGGCCTTATACCATATTTATTTTTCTTAAACAACTGAAAATTAACTGTGTTTCTCTTGAAAGGCTTTCCTCAGCATAAGGTAAACTCTGATAGGCAAATATACATCTTCTAATCATGCAATTTTGCAATTAGCATTTTTAAGAAAGTATCTCTTGCTTGATCTTAAATCAATATAAATTATTCTGGTATGATTTCCCATCTTGTTTCTCTTTTTAGGGTGTTCTGGGAGGGGAACATATTTTCTGATTCCTAATTTTTTAAGCCAGGCACAACCTGAGGTATTTTTTCCCCCTTTTGCTTCATATCACTAAAAACACTGGGGAAAATGCCTAGATATTTATCCAACATAACTGCCTTAAATTTCACATGCAAGAGTGTGATTGTGTTGGCGCATTATGAATGGTAGCTTTGGTGTTGAAAAGTCCCCTCATTTGCTCATGGCATTTACAATTAGTAAATTAAAATGATTGTATCATATTAACAGTGGCACAACTAAAGTTTATAGTAGTCCTCTGAGGGCCATGGGGGGAGACAAAACAGCTGTTGCTGTTTGTTTATGCAACTCAGCAACATATGAGCGCTGGTCCCTCAATGGCGCTCGGCGGGCTGGGCTCTGCTTGATCTTTGAAGGTTGCTGCTGTTTGAACAAACCTCCCTGTGTCCCATGTAACACCATCTGTCTCACTAGGAATGTGGGAAGATTCAGCACACCCTAGCAGTTGTCATACCGTTTCTGTGCTGTCTTTTTTTGCAATAGGCTTTTGTGTCATTGCTGCTTGAAAAAAGCTGACCTCCTACCTTGAGCATCCAGAGTGGATGACTGTATTTTTTTTTTCTGAATTCAAAGTCACAGTGCTTTTCTCACTTGTTCAAAAAGGTCATCTGTGTTTGATTATATCTTTATGCTGCTTTTAACTTCTCCTTTCAGCCAACTTTTCTCTTGTTTTGCCCCTACTCCTTAGCACAGCACTAGGAAAAAAAAACACCATAAGAAAGGTAGCTAAGTCTTTCCTGCTGCTCTGTGATAAAAAATTTCCAACAGCTACAGCTTCATGCTGAAAATACTGTCTCTTGTATTTGATAATGATATGTAACACCAGTAAAGGAAGAGTTTCTATATTTTTTACTCACAAAATAAATAGGATTTTTAAACAAGAGGAGTTCCACATGTTTAGAAGCTGCTAGAAATATTAAGAGGCACAAATCTTTTTACAAAAGAGTTTCTCTCCTCATAAGATACCTTAAAGCAATGCATTCCTGATGAGATATTTAGGAAATAATTCTAATACAAACATCAAATGCCCATGTGAAAGCACTTTTGCATTTGTTTCGGTTTACTGCCAACCTTTTGATTTTTATTGCAACGGTGACGAGACAGATAACTGTACATGCAGTTCGTTCAGTTTGCCTGATAAATACAGAGCAGCATTCATTTTGATTTTGGTTATAAACTAAAACTTCTTGGTTTCTAGTCCACAAAATTCATGTCAGCATCTTTTCTCTTGCAGCACCAAATGCTGACCCAAGGAGCAGGCAATCGCAAGTTCAAATGTACTGAGTGTGGAAAGGCCTTCAAATATAAACACCATCTGAAGGAACACCTGCGAATTCACAGTGGTGAGTAGCAGAGGTGCTGGTGTGCTCATTTGCATTTTGTTTAATTAGCTGAGTTTTAAAGATTGCTTAAAATTTACACAGTTCTGCTTGTAGCATCTTAGAGCTACTAAGGTATTCCATAAAGGATATCTGAGTCATCCTCATTTATCATGCTGTTAATCACACGGGCTTGCTGTAAGATTTTGAAAGAGTAATGCTTGTTAGCAAAAAAGGACTTCAGAATTGGTTTATTAGACTGTTTGAGTTCATAGGAATTCACAGCTCTTGGTTTAGTTAGCTCATAGGTGGGCCAAATATTTTTAATAAAGGAATGCCCCCTCATTTTGAAAATCAATGAATTATGAATCAAATCCATGGGATAATGGACAGATGAGAAATATCTTATGTTAGGCTGTGAGTTAAGGAACTTTCTTTTTCTTTCTTTCTTCCTTTCTTCCTTTCCTTCTTTCTTCCTTCCTTTCTACAGCTTGACCCAACTTCAGATCTGCACAAGCAAAACTGTATGTCCACACAAAGTCCCATTGAGCCCTGCACAGGAATGAACCTGTGTGGATGTAGTGACAGGATCAGGGCTCAGTTTCTTCTCTTGTGCCATCCTGAGAGCCTTTTGGAGATGGCTGAATTGAATTTGGGCTTTATGGATTTGATTGCACTACTTTAGCTAAAGAATCACCTACCTGTGACATTGATTACCATTTTACAGCTATTCCAGTGGCTTTTCAGACAGTGTATTGCTAAATGGGAAACTTTTATTCAGAATTGGCCTCAGAACTGCTAAGATCAAGGCCTTTAGCCTATAGTACAATCAGCACCTTAAACACTCATCATTTGCTGTCCTAGGAGACCACAGTAACAGTATCATCTAAACTTAGAACACATGAAAAATGAATTTCAGTTCTTTTCTCTGTACATAGGAGTTCACATAGAGCTCTGCATAGCCTGAATCCCCCATAAATACATGCATTTACCAGCATATCCAATGCCATTAAAACACTAACTCTGTGGCTATCCATAACACAGGACTCTGTAGCTATCTAAGACAGAAAAGGAACTAGATGGGGTTTCTCCCATTTGGAATAGATTCCCAGGAAGCCAGGGGTCATGCTGTGAATAAGACGATACTGCAGAAGCAATATGGGGAGTAATTCAGCCATATGCATAGAAATGTTATTTCTCTCCCTAATAATCAGCAGCAACATAGATAATCTGTTTTGTGAGTGAGACATACTAACTTATATGGACAAAATAAATAAATAATAATTAATGTTTGGTTTTAATTATCATTTTAGGTGAAAAACCATACGAGTGTCCAAACTGCAAGAAACGTTTCTCCCATTCTGGCTCCTACAGTTCACACATCAGCAGCAAGAAATGTATTGGCTTAATCTCTGTAAATGGTAGAATGAGAAACAATATCAAGACGGGTTCTTCTCCTAATTCTGTATCTTCCTCTCCTACTAATTCAGCCATTACACAGCTAAGAAACAAGCTGGAGAATGGCAAACCACTTAGTATGTCTGAACAAACAGGCTTACTAAAAATTAAAACAGAACCACTAGATTTTAATGAATATAAGGTTCTTATGGCCTCGCATGGGTTTAGTGGTGCTAGTCCTTTTATGAATGGTGGACTCGGAGCAACTAGTCCCTTAGGAGTTCATGCTTCTGCTCAAAGTCCAATGCAGCACTTAGGTGTAGGGATGGAAGCACTTGGGTTTCCTGCAGTAGGCAGTAATTTAAGTGAAGTGCAGAAGGTCCTACAGATTGTGGACAACACGGTTTCAAGGCAGAAAATGGACTGCAAAGCTGAAGAGATCTCAAAGCTGAAAGGTTATCACATGAAGGACTCATGCCCTCAAGCAGAGGAACAAGGAGTTACCTCCCCTGGTATTCCACCTGTGGGTCTTCCAGTAGTGAGTCATAATGGTGCCACTAAAAGTATTATCGACTATACATTAGAAAAAGTCAATGAAGCCAAAGCTTGTCTCCAGAGCTTGACCACAGACTCAAGGAGGCAGCTCAATAATATTAAAAAAGAGAAGCTGCGAACTCTAATTGATCTGGTTACTGAAGATAAGATGATAGAGAACCATAATGTATCCACTCCATTTTCATGCCAGTTCTGTAAAGAAAGCTTTCCTGGTCCCATTCCCCTGCATCAGCATGAGCGTTACCTGTGTAAGATGAATGAAGAAATCAAGGCAGTCCTTCAACCTCATGAAAACATGGTTCCCAACAAACCTGGAGTGTTTGTTGATAAGCAAGCTCTCTTGCTGTCATCAGTACTTTCTGAGAAAGGAATGACTAGCCCCATCAACCCATACAAGGACCACATGTCTGTACTTAAGGCATATTATGCTATGAATATGGAACCCAACTCTGATGAACTACTGAAAATTTCCATTGCCGTTGGCCTTCCTCAGGAATTTGTGAAGGAATGGTTTGAACAAAGAAAAGTCTACCAGTATACAAGTTCCAGGTCACCATCACTGGAAAGGACCAGTGCCAAGGTGGCGCTGGCTGCCACCAACAACACTCCCACTAAGGACTCTTTGTCAGCCAAATCTCCAATAAAGCCTGTGGACTCTATAACTTCACCATCTATAGCTGAACTCCATAACAGTGTTACTAATTGTGATACTCCTCTCAGGCTAACAAAACCTCCTCATTTTACCAATATTAAACCTGTTGATAAATTGGACCACTCAAGGAGCAATACTCCTTCTCCTTTAAATCTTTCTTCCACATCTTCTAAAAACTCCCATAGTAGTTCTTACACTCCAAACAGTTTCTCTTCTGAGGAGCTTCAGGCTGAGCCTTTGGACTTGTCTCTACCAAAACAAATGAAGGAACCCAAAAGTATTATAGCCACAAAGAACAAAACAAAATCTAGTAGTGTAAATTTAGACCACAACAGTGTTTCTTCATCATCTGAAAACTCAGATGAGCCCCTGAACTTGACTTTTATCAAGAAGGAGTTTTCTAATTCAAATAATCTGGATAAAAGCACTAACCCAGTATTCAGTATGAACCCATTTAGTGCCAAACCTTTATATACAACACTTCCACCACAAAGCGCATTTCCCCCAGCTACTTTTATGCCACCAGTCCAGACCAGTATTCCTGGGCTGCGACCATACCCAGGACTAGATCAAATGAGCTTCCTACCACATATGGCCTATACTTATCCAACTGGAGCAGCTACTTTTGCTGACATGCAGCAAAGGAGAAAGTACCAGCGGAAACAAGGATTTCAGGTAAATAATCATAATTGGTTTATTTCAGAAGGCTGCAGGTCAGTAACTTGTGCCTCATCCTTTTATATAAAAAGTCACTAAAGTTACATTAAACATTTCCAGCCAAAGATTTATTTTAGCTTGAATTTAAAAAAAAATAGTGATCTAGACTAGTAAATGAATCTAGCCTAGGAACACTGTAAATTTATTTATGCAAATAGAAGAGATACAAGCATATTTGAACAAATTTAATGTTTATTTTTAATTTTATTAAGGTCATGTAATTGTATAAAAGTGACAAAGTCCCCTCCAACAGAAAATGCTGCTGGAGTGGGGAGAAAAGACCCATTAGGTTTTCTTCACAGAGATCCACTACATTACAGGTACTCCTCACTTAATGTCGTTCCGGTTAACGTTGTTTTGTTATTACGTTGCTGAACTGTTAGAGAACATAGGAGTTTAAAGTCACCCAATGTTTGATTATAACATTGTTTGGCCACCTCCTGCTAGTAGATAACTATTGTTTCGTAATTGGATTCGCTTAACATCGCTTTGCTTAAAGTCACATTTTTTCAAGAAAGTAACTATGACATTAAGCGAGGGGTACCTGTACCATGTTGTGGGAGTAGGATTTGGACTCTTGAAGGTCCAAGGCTCATAGGGATTCCCAAAAATTTGGCAGGTAAAGCCAAGGCCATCTGAACAGAGTCCCTGTGGCTCCAAAAGAACTCTAGCCTGCCAAAATTCTTGAAGGCTTCCTGCACCTTGACTCTTGGAATGCTTTTCCCAGTAAACTGTTACACCCACTGCAGCTCCCACAGCATACAGGAGGGCTCCAGATTTATGACTACAAAGCCAGAGAACAGGTGATATGCCTGTATATCTAAATATATGCTTATCCTTGGCCCAGCTTCAGGCATATTTCTTCCTTTCCTGAGATCCCACTCTCCATGCCTAGCAAGGGAGACCTCTAAAAGGTCCATGTATGGAAAGAAGTGGTCTGTGGTACCAGCAGAACCCCTCTTCCACTTTTGTGTATGAGGTTCCTCCCATCTATATATTTAGGATATATGATCTGGGTCAGCCTCTGTTAGTAGAAACCTCTGTTTCTTTCCCAGGTGAGCTCCAATAGAAATCACTTAAGGAGTGTAGGATCTAATTGCTTATGTGCAATTAGATTGCTTATGTGCAACAAAGAGTTGACTACATAAAATGTACAGTATTAGAGTTATTCACAGTGTACAAAAAGGGGGAGAAGAGGGTCTATGTGTGTGTGCATGCATGTATGTGTATTTGTATTCAAATATAATGTACACAGTTTAGTTCACTGAGATTAACTGATTATGGATGAATAATTTTTTACATTTGTGGACATTCCCCTCTGACCTATTATGCTCCATTAGTAATTTTACTGACTAGTAAATGTTTTATAGTTTCAGATGTGAAAATCAGGTATGGTTTAACGTTACAGGCTGTAATCCCTCTTTGCACAATAGGAGCATAAATAGCACTGCACCTCCATAACAGCTGTTCCACTATTCCAATTTACAGTACATCTGCCCTCTTTGTAAATGTATTTAAGCCTATTTAATCTTCTCTAATATTAATTAGTATGAACCTAGTCTAAGAAAACTGAACTGTGTGATAGCAAATGGAAATGTATGTTATCATGCAAGTTTGCACTCTCTTTGGATCAAGACAAAATAAATATCAAGAAATTTAATAATTTACTGATCCACATTCATTATTGCTTAATGCTGAAGGCTGTTTTAACATAGATAGAACATTGATAAAAAGTGTTATTAATATTCCCTATTTCAAATTACAAAATTAAATATAAAAATATAGCTTGAGGCCTTTAGTCAGGAGACATACATTTAAATGGATTGCATAATAATAACATTTTGTACCTAAATATAAAATTCAATTAAAACCTTTATACAGATATGGGATATAGCCAAGGTTCAGTGTTTTGAAAAGAAAGATCTTTAGCTGTTGTTATATTTATTTTTTTGGAAATATGAAGATACCTTTTATGATCTTTAAATGGAGTCTTTAAGTGGAGTCTTCCTAAAAAGATTTCCTGCTCCCTGAAAATACCTGTATCATGAATATTTTCTACTTAGATGAATTACATGAATTCTTCTTTCAAAGTAATTGAAGGGAGACCAAGTTTTCCAAGCTAGCTGAGGTTCCATAGAAGAAAAAATTATTTAACAGCAGAGACCAGTCTTGCAAGCCTTTTCAGCTTGGCACTGGCATTATTGCCAAGAGTACATCCTGAGCCAGTGGGTTCAATAGGGTTAGCAGGTCCTTCCTGAATATTAGTTTAGGTCTTACAGAATAGATCTTTGTAGGAAGCTGAGATGCTGTGAAATGTCAGAGGGAACCAGTTTTACATAAATAATTTTGTTACATCGCAGGGAGAATTGCTCGATGGAACACCAGACTACATGTCAGGCCTAGATGATATGACAGACTCTGACTCGTGTCTGTCCAGAAAGAAGATCAAGAAGACAGAAAGTGGCATGTATGCATGTGACTTATGTGACAAGACATTCCAGAAAAGCAGTTCCCTTCTGCGACACAAATATGAGCACACAGGTATGAATGACTTAAATGCGTAGTTAGAGTTTCATTGCATGCTGTACATTTCATAATATTTAACGAGTACATTTGTGCAACATAAGATGCAGCATATGCTGAGACTTTAAACAGGGAAGAAATAATGTGTTTTGCTTAGCTTAGTTTGACTTTTTTCTTTACTTGTTTATCTGTTGTTTGGGGGTATTTTTGTTTGTTTTGTTGTGTGATGATATTTTTTGGCTCATGAAAAAAAAATGTACAAACTTTGAGCTGAATCCTGCCAAGTGTTGAGTGTCCTCAGCTTGCACCAAAAGAACTAAAAATGGAGGGTGCTCAGCACCTTGCAGCCTGAGTCCCTATATTAACATATTTCACATGAGACAGGCCCAATTGCAGGGTAAGGAGTGAAACTTCATATAATAAAAACCTAGTGTGATGAGCGATTCTTGAGTCTTACTTGGGATCTGATCCCGAAACTTTGAAAACAATAGGCAAACTTCCATTGATTTGAGTGGTATATGATCTATTTTGTTTTCCTGAAAAATAAGCAAGCCACTCCCAGCAACCTAAAGAAGAGAAGGTTACATTTAATTTTTCACTTCTGTAATTTTTCATTTCCAAAGATCATACTATAATTTTTCATTTCCGAAGACAGGGCATATAAGGTGATCCTGAAAAAGGGGGTTGGGATTAGTGCCAAATAGCAGCCAAAAATATAAAACTGTACAAAAAGCCTACAGTTTCTATTTACATTGGTCATGATATGTTCTTTCTCCTGGAAGGTGATATTTCCTGTGACTTGAGTCCAGGGAAGGGCTGGACCAGGAAGTAGAAAGCCCAAGAGCCAGATGTTGATTCAATATGTTTTGGAAAGGTAGAAAAACATGACTAGGGCTCCAAACAATAATAGAGACTTCCAGTTACATCTCCCTGTTCCCTCTGTGTGTATGTGTACTCATGTGCATGCACACACACATGCACGCATGCACGCACGCACACACGCAACATTAATTTTGGGAAGCACTACTATGAATATTTACAATTTTACCTTCTTCTTTCCCAGGTGCCCTGATAAATAGTAAAATAGTTAATGTTATATTTAAAATAAAATATTACATCTATGAATGAACACTTTAGAGCCCTATTTTTGGCTCCTTGCATACACAGGGGAAATTTATGGATCAGTTTCACTTGTCTGACATTTTGAAGGTTTTCTTCCCAACTATGTTAGTTAGTGACTGCTTTTCTTCACAATGAAAGCTGATTACAATTACAATTTAGAAAACTATCCATCTTGTTCTCTGGCCATCCTTTGCACTCTTCTTGGGTGATACACCTCATACCATGTGGGCAGGTAGTTTAATCTAGTACTGGTAAACACTGGAGACTGGTACAGGTAACATTAGTGTGATCCTGTATGCCAATTATTATTTTCCTAGATCAGAAGAACTCATAGTAAAGACATTAAGTACTGTGGTAACAGCAGCCTAGTTTTACAGCAGTAGCTAACTCTACACAGATACCTCTGGTAATCTACTTAAAGGTGGCATGTGAACTGAAAAGGTATTTGAAGAGATAAGCAATTAATATTTCAGAAAACTTCCATGATAGTGTTCAATCTCAGTTATAGATAGGCTGATATTTGAAAATAATCTACTATTTGTCATGGACAATTAGTAATTGAGGAACGGATTGTATTTTTATAATCTTCTCTGCTTAATTTTTCCTCCTTACATTTTTCTTCCAATTTTTGGACTATTCAGGAAAATAAAAAGGAAGTTAAAATGCATGTGGGATTAGGAAAGAAAATTAAAAGGAACATTTTGAACTAGTTTAGTTAGTTCATTGGTGAAATGTGCCTCCCATTGTATTATTCAGATCAAATTGTTTATTCAGTAGGAGAAGCTTTGAATGCTTTACATCCCAGCACCTTTCCTCTCCTGAATGATTTTATTACAGCCATCTGCAAACATTATGGTTTACTACACTACTACTGTAAAGCTCTTATGTTAGAACTGGCCTTCATATATATCAGGATCTGGACATATGGTTGTATCCCATAAAGTTGGTAGTCCATAAGGTCGACAGACATATGGTTGAAAGGCTGAAAATTTGACAAGCTGAAATGTGTGCAATCACCTTGATTTGCAAAATAAACTGCATTTGCAAAAGCAAAAACATGTTCCAGTCTTTAAGAAAGAGAATCTAATGCCTAAAAAAATCAGCCAATCAAAGGATACACACTCTTCTTCTTTTTGTCTTTTCTGTTGTTCTTGACTTTTCAACAATATGTCTGTCAGTTTTATAAGATTCGGCCTTATAAACCAGAATGTATATATGCTGTTGTATTTAATACAGTAGAACTACAGTATAAGCTCTAGTAGCATTTAGAGAGAGGAGAGGATGCTGAAAAGCACAGGAGCTGAAGCTAAGTGATCTGTGTTCTGCTCTGCTTTGCTACAGACTTCCTCTGTGAATTTCAGCAAATTATTTAATCTCTCTCTCATTTTCCCTTAACTCTGAAATAGGGAGAAATGATACTGGCTTACCTCTCAAGGGTGTTGTGAATCTTAATTCAAGCACACTGAAATCCTCAAATGGAAGTTGCTATATAAAGTGCAAAGTAGTATTAGGAATGTGTTTTATTTTATGGAACTTCCAAACTTCATGCTGTAAAGGTATGTGGGACCTCTGAAGGCCTTGTTTAGACAAGGTTTGACAACTCGTTCATTGCCTTTGAGAGGCATAATGTATTAGGGCTTTATTTTAAAGATCTACCATAGATGAAGTTTACAATCACTGAGTTTATTTTTAAAAGCTAATACTTTATTGGGTTGTTTTTTCCTTTTGTGCCATTACTAAATCTTATATGAATTTCAAATTAATTTGATAGCTTTGGAACAAGCTATAACTACAGAGCTGCTAATGTATTTTTAATATGTATGAGAAATTTCAATTTGTGTTCAGTGCAAGGAACTTTAAACTGCAAATAACTTCAACTTCTGGATCCTTATTAGATTGCAAAAAATTCAAAATGTTGTAAACATTTTCACGAAATATATTAATTACCATTTTGTTTTCCATTTGTAATCATTTTCCCCTCTTAATATTTTGTGTTGACACATCAGGAATATATATCATCCATTGATGCTGTTGTGTTTGTTCTTTCTACCTATGTCAAAAATCTGTGAATTGACAGGCCTCTGCTCCAGGATCCACAACCAGAGTTTGGACAAAATGCCAGTCAGATACAGAAAGCTGAACAGTTTGGCCTACAAAATTCACTGCTCAGAGATTGACTCTGGCAATTTTGTAGGGAAAAAGGAACTATTGTAAAGCTGGAGGAAGTGATGTAACCACATCCTATGCCAGTTGTCTCACCCCACACATCAGGAGAAAGAGGATTTATTAGGGGTGGCTCAATGGTCTGTTGGAGTAGAAGAAAATGTGGTGGAATTGAAGTCCCATGCTATGGAAGCAGTAGAAGCAGCAGAAGCTATAGTAGCCCCCCTGGTCTACATCAATCTATACGCTTCTCTTGGTCAGAAGTGCTATTGGTCAGGCATTGGTCAGAAGTTGGAATTAGTTCATTCCTATTTCCATTTTTATAATACTTAAACGCAACAAAATGTTGCTTTGTTGTCAGCTTGTTTCTTGAGAGGCCTGGAACAAAAAACCCCCAGTGTTTTTAATATAAAATGTTTAGCATATATATAAGACATGTTAAGATGGGTGTATCTCAAAAATGAGTATGTTCAGTTCATTAAGCACCTCAGACCTGGGATGTTTCTCTAATATATTTTTGTCTGGACAACATCTTCCAGTAATTCTAGGTTTCAAGTAGGACATAAATACTTCCAAGATTTTTTTAATGGATCTGAAAAAGCTTATATGAATGATGGGGTTTAGTTTTAGTGGCCTTGTACAAAGTAAGATATATGGGAAACTCATGCAGATTCCTGTAAACCAACTGGTATGGGTGGGGGCTTGGACACTTTTCACTGCCAGGTCTCAACACAGTTATGTCTTTAGGGAGAAGGATCAGATTGTTGTACACCAGAATTCACCTTTAAGGATGGAAAGGGAAGTACCATCTTAGCTAGTAGGTAGATAAGATTATAGAAAGTAGGATAGCAGAAGTGCTAACCAAACAGAGTTTTCAAACATACAGTGTCCAAGGCATCTGAATATTTAGGACAATCCTCACCATACAATACTGGTTGAGATAGATTCAAAATTGAGTCAAGCTGGCTTGTTCCCAATAATTTTAGCCCACCCTGACAGGAAGGTTTTATCAGAGCCTCACAAGGAAATTTGTGGTGTGGCTAAACCACAACAAAAGCTGGAACGATTCTCTTGGAATATGAGCTAGGAATTTTGAATCTTATTATTACTATTTTGTGTTACATCATAATCTAGTTTATAATTTGAATGGGCTGCTGAGGGCCTCATGACTACACTGTTGCTTTCTTTCTTCTCTTGTTTTCCCGGGTATATTTTATTAAAACCTCTTTTTATTTTTTGTAGCTTCAGTGCTGATGCAAGCACTAGCTTTATTTCCAGATTGATTCTGTAAACTAAATATTGTTCTTGAGCCCAGTAGCAAACCAGCTCTCTGGCTAGTATTTTGAATTCCCATCTCAGTTTTCCTTATTTAGAGCTTGATTCATAAAAAAATTACATGCTATTTAAAGATTATTTTCTCTCCTTTACACAGATACAAGTTTAGACTGTCCCAATTTATACTCAAATAAAGCAAAAGAAAAAGTAAAGTCAGTGCTTGTAAAATTTGTTTTGGAGACAGGAGTCATCTATTAAAAATAGAACAGGTGCAGCACTAGCAATTATATATAAATTGCATTTATCTTGCACCTTTGACCGCCTCACTGCACTCTAGCCACTAATCCATCTCCATTGGGACTACATCTAACATCCAAGCCCCTAAGCAGCTTCAAAGAACTGCCCTTAAAAAATAAAGCCAAACTATCATAAAAATGTTTTCTCTTTTCCTCCTAATTGTGGGATTTCTATTCTGCCCCCTACCCAAGGAAAAAGAGAAAAAAAGATTTGCCTGAGGCAAAAGATGGGTAATATTTAGTCTGGGACCAGTGACAGGATTAAGATCTGATGGCTTATGACTCTGCAGAGCAAGAAGTAGGAGCTTTAAACTACTGAAATTCTTAGTTTTTCAGTGAAATATAGTATTTGATTTTAAGGTCAAGAGATACTGGACTTCAGAGTTTTTTTGATATGGAAATGAAATTTTTGGGCAATATTTAGTTGTTTAGTAATCATTTTATTTTTAACTCAAGTCCCTAAGGTCTATTTTTGCAGATGGCGGAACCATAAAAAGAAATCCCAATATTTGTTTTAAATCTTTGTGAAATATTTATGAAGTAAGTCTACTGTAATTGTGTAGTACGTACAGAACACATCTACACACAACTAAATGTGCAGTAGTGTAATAATACTGCACAGTAGCATGTCACAGCACAGACAGTCCTAGTACGCTACTGCACAGTACTATTAAGCTACTACACAGTAGCATCACTAAAAAGGCATTCGCCAGCACTACTGTGCAGTAACTCTGGTTACTCTGTATTTATTTAGTATTTGATTACACAAGTACTAAATAAATGCACGGTAACCATTGCGCAGTAGTGTCTGTTGTAGATGCACACACTGATTATCTGCTGGTGTACCATGGTCTAAATGTTTTGTTGGCTCGTATTTAAACTATCTTGCATAACTCAATAGTAGCTTTATAAGTTGTGAATTTACTCAAATAAGTTCAGTAAAACATATAGGGTGGTATTTTTAAAAATGCTTAGCATTTGCCTATCTCTGCTCTAACTGAAGTCAAGACATTTTACTACAACAGTGTTATACAAAGTGTTGTATATTCTGTAGAGAGCTGACACGCAGAGAGAAGCAGAGAAACTAACTGCCTTTAGTTACAGCATTTTTTCCTTTCATGTCAAATAATTCACTTCAGTCACATTGTATGGCCTATTAACTCAAAATAGAGAGGATGTCCAAATGAAATTTACTTTTTTCAAGGCTGGAATACTGAAGTTTGAAAAACATTCTGTTGCCAGTGTTCAGAAACCTGATATATTTAAAAACATATTTCAATTAATGTTGTAACAGCTGCACGCCATGCACTTCTAAGATACATTGTGAGGTATCTGAGCAAATAACTTTGCTCAAGCTGTCACATTCTCTCAGATCAAAATGTTCAGAAGGTCCTTAATATGGATATAAATAATAAACTAAATAGCTCTTTCTAGGAATAACACAAATTAAGAAACAAAATAAGAAATATTTTCATTTTCTCATTCCTAAATCAGACTTTAAACATGGACTCTTTCCTGGAATTCTACATTGATGTTGACTTACATGAGTAGACTGTTAGGTATAAGCAGGGAACAGGATGAAATGCAGCTAAGGAGCAAGTCAGAGATAGGCATGGGATGGTCTAGAATTCCTTAAAGGAGGGTGTGGCATACCACGCCTCTGGAGGAGTAGCTGCAGCCCCCAGGCTGGTGAGGGGCACAGGGGAGCTGGGCAGAGATCAGGTGCTTGAAGAGGAGGACCCATGTCCCAACTACAACCCCTGACCCTGGCTGACCTGAACATAGGTGGATCCCCAGAACCACTCCTGCCAGGGGGTATGGGGAGCATTTGCACAGAGAGCCTAACTCCAACAGGGACAGTGGTAGTGGCAGTGGCAGGGAGTGGGTTCCTTCTTCCAGCACCTCCTTCCTGCCTGTCTGCCTTTCTCCCCTGCAGTGTTCTCCACAGGGCAGAAGCAGGTGCTGGGAGGAGGAACCTATTTGCCATTACCCACTGTCCTTGGCCAAGTCCAGCACCCTGCACAGCTGCTTCCTGTAGCCCATAGTTGGATAGGGGCAGGAGCTCTGGGGCTACCCCATGGCTGTTTCAGCCAAGGAGAGCAGTGGGGGGGACAGGGGTTCCTCCTTCCAGTGCTTGCTCCCAGGCAGTGGGGACCACAATGCAAGACTGGTAGGTACAGAAAGAGACAACCTCTGTATCACCACTACTGTCCCCATAGCTCCTCAGACAGCTGCAAACTGCTGATGAAGTGGGGCAGAAGCAACTCAGGGGCTGCCCCCGGTTTCAGGTCAGCTTTGGGTGATAAAGGAAGTGGGGTGCTCCACTTGCATTTTTTCCACTTCCCCTGAATCTCTCTTGAGGTAGTGGTGCTAGATAGTAGTAACCAGATAGTAGGGAAAGGGAGGCTGGTTGGAAGGGGACTGAAGAGTTAGAGAAGTTGCCAGAAGTCAGGTGAAAGAGTTGGTTTGCGCAGAAATAGATGAGGAGCCAAAGTGATAGAGCACATTTGGGAGACAGTGGGAAGTTTGAAAAGGGAAAGGATGTAGGTTGGGTCAGGGGAACCAGGGACTGGGAAGCAGAGGAAGAGCAGGAGCAACTGTAGACAGGTAGAACAAATTGTGAGAAGATTTTGAGCATTCAGGCTTTAAAGAGGTGAAATATAAAGTAAAAGGGTCCAGGGAAGAGATTCAGAGAATGATTCAGTACTGTGAAAGTTCTAAAATAAGGGAGCAGAGGAGTAACAAAAGGATTTGGGAGGCACAAAGGGAGGGCAAAATAAGCAGTCAGAGCATGAATGCCACATACCCCTGGAGGCTGGGGAGAGCACAGCAAGCTCCTGCAGGTGGCAGCAGTGTCGGTGGAGGGAGCGTGGCAATCGGGGAGCTCTCGCAGGTGGCCACAGTGGTGGCAGGGGAGGGGGGTGAGTGCCCACAGCTGCCTGTGGTACTTTTTGCAGGGGGTGCACTGCCAAGCTCAGCAGGTGCACGTGCACCCAAGTGTACCCCCTATGCATCGCCAATGAGTCAGAGGACATGTCTACAAGTTTATTAAGTGGCCATAGTTACAGTGCATTAAGTTTAGTACTTGTATAACCACCCAGACATTACAGCCTCGTAAAGTAAGGGTGCTCAGGTCTGGATTGGGTTTGGATTTGAAAGCAAACCACAGGTCCAATTCAGGTACTGATTTGATGGGGCAAAAATGTTTAAAATTATATATACTTACAGAACAGACAATAAAGGCCAAATACACTAATGTTTCAATTCATATTGTGTTTGTTTTTTAAATTGTACTCTAAGGTAAAGAAAAGAGATTATTAACAATCCCTGTAAATATATGTAGGGACTGATTAAAAGCCAGATGAAAGGAGTTTAAAGTTAAGTCTGAATTTCCACCCATAACTCTTCCTTCAATTTTCTTGTCACTTATTCTAATCTCTTTGTGGTTTCTCTTGTATCTTCCCTCCTGGCAGATCTCCCTAGATAGGGAAACTTCATATTACAACACAGGATTTTTGGATTCCTTGAGCATTCGTTAGTCACACCATGTTAAACTTGAACATTCACAATGGAATTCGAGGGTAACTGCAGCTAGGTTGGGCAAAATCAGCACAAGCTCTGGTCATTCAATCTCAGCCACTTTCTTGAGGAACTGGTAGTTTTTATGTCTGACCTTCTCTGCTCTTGCATACTGTCAGTGACTACAAAAGAAAAGATAGCTGATCAGATTCATAAAAGCACAGCTTGAATTTTCCTGGATGTTGAAATTCTTCAGTGTTCTTAAAACATTTTTCTGCTTCCTGCTGGATTTCCTTTCTACTGCGATGGTCTGTTAGTGATAGTATCCCATCTACTCAGGCTCTTGGCTCTCTGTTGGAATTTTCTTGCCGGCTATCCCATATACTTCATTCATTGCCACACTTTTTTAAAGGGCAAGGAGTGGCTATTCTGTAGTTGAATATATTTTTATGCCCAGGCTACTAGCTGTTCTAGTCTTTGAAGTGCAGCACTCTGTCTCTGTTTCTCTCCCTTTCACAACATACATGCTTTTTAAAAATATAACAGTTGCCCCATTTTAAAGTATGCCATTGGTACAATTGCGAGGGTGGTAGGGCCTCAAGTGGAAAGTTTAATTCTGGTCTGATGGGGGTCACATCATCTTAGCAGATATAGAAGAATTGGTATAATCCACTAATAAGACAGCTCCTAATTATAGACCCATATAAAGCATATTTTACAGACACTGAATTACAGTATTAAATACATAAAAGAATTACAGTGATTACTAAATGTCATTATGTATATTTATATAGCCTATAGTTGAATGACACTTAAGTTTATAATTTGACATTTAGAAAATGAGAATCTGGATGAATATGCCAATGTTTAATTTTATTTCAGTCTACTGAAATCTAAGTTTGCTTGCTAGAGCTATACTAATTCCAATTTGTGCACCATATGCGATGTCTGTATGTCTTCCTGTTGCATCATGCTTTTCTGAATTTTGTCCTGTGGCATCATGCTGACAAGCATTTTTGTCAGCTCTATTTTGGAATTAAAGTTTTAAGTATGGCAGCTATGGAAGGTGTTGAAGGCATTCCAGTGCTATTTACAGCCTGGAATCAACCAGATGTGTTTAGGCTTGGCACTGGTTTTGAGTTTCAAACATTGGTTAGAAACTGCTTGAAATGCCAAAGGAAATACAGCTGAAGATGACTTTAGCATTCAGTGCTGACTAATTTCTGTGTAGAAACAGTTCTGCTCATATGAATATGAATATTTGTATTTGCTCATACACATGGGACAAGATTCCTCAGTCCTGGTTCCATCCCTCCGTGGAAGCTTTCCTAAAAGTAAGCCTGACTCCTGGGCTAGGGACAGACATTCAAAAAGCCTGATTCTGAATTGATTCAATCTTTTCAGGTTCGTCTAACCTGGCTAGGCTAAATCACTTTGTAACTGTACAGACATCCCAGACGTGCAGGCACATGCCTGCAGTGGCTCTGGCTAGAAGCTGGGGGGCACTAGAGAAGCCCTCCCTCCCCTTCCTCAGGGCTAAGTGGAGGGGGGTATGGCCAGGCCCTGGCAGGATTAAGGAGGGGTTTCTCGCCTCCTTGATAACAGAGCATTTATCAGGTCTGTTGTCAGCATTTATCACCCCACCAGAAAACAAACAGTCTCTCTCATTAGTTCAAACTTTTCTTAACCAAAGAAGGAATGGAAGGACATTATCAGCTGAGCTGTTGATTAGCTCCAAAAAGCCCTATCTGCTACAGCATGGACTGTAGCCAGCATGTGGCCTGCTAGCTATAGCAGAGGTGTCTGTGTACGGCAGAGGGGACAGGAGTGGTGAGGGGAGGTGGAGAACAGGAGGAAGCCAGGCAGATGCTGCTGTACCTACAAGTCTCTGCCGGAGCTGCAGCCACAGAGCAGAGGGGAGAGGCCAGCCCTGCTGTGGATCAGAGAGCCCTGCCCAGTCCAGAGAGCATGCCAGGATGCTGGGGGAGTCTGATTTAATTTAAACAAGCAAGGGGTCTGGGACAGACATTGCATAAACCAGTGTGATATTAATCTGTTAAGTCTGATATTACGTTCAACCAGGCTTATCTCAAACCAGTTTCAGCCATTTTCAAACTGGTTTATGTGCAGTGAACATCTGTTCTGTTACAGGTTTAAACCAGTT